TCAAGGAACTGTTCTGTGTGGTTGTAGCTTGGTTTGGTTGTATTTGGAGAGTCTATACTAACTGGGTGATTGGATAATTTGACTCTTCCTATTTCTAATCTTACACCCCCACACAACCCCACACACCCCCTTTCTTTTTTCTTTCTGGGGATTTGCTGTCAGGGAAAGGCTTTTGTGTGCCTGTACTTCAAATAATGTCATTAAAAACCAGATAATTCTATTTGCCTCATATTATGCTGCTTCATATCTGGACCCATCAGCTGTTCACTTCTGTGCCATCTATTATTCAAGGAGATGAATGTTTAATACTTGTAGAAGTGATTAAACTTACTGTCTTGGTTAGGTGGCCTTAGTGTTGAAACAGCCATAGTTTATAGTTCTGGTGAACTTGCACAGTGATCTAAGTGTTCTTTAGGATAAAGAAAAATTAGAATATCCCTCAAAAATGCTTCCAAAATGCCTGGAGATGAATTTTTGTAAAAGCAAGTGATGAGGGATATGTTGTAGTTGTGAAGTGAGCAGCTTTGAATTTAGAAAGCATCCTCATTCTTTTGCTCCCGCCCCCCCCTCCCCCAAAACACACATAAACCCATGTTAACAAATCAAATCTCCCAACCCCCACCTCAGCCTAGCTCATTGCTATTTGCATGGTGACCACATGCTGATACATGCTGAAGAGAAATTCTTGGTAGTGTTCTTTCTGAACATGGTGAATTTCTTACATCTGTCTCTACTGAGGGATGTTTTTGAGTCCAGAAATACGTACAATACTCTAAAACTTGAGATACATCTTTTTTTTTTTGGCTTCATCAATGTATCCGAATCAGGACTGCAGGGTGATTAGTGAAGTAGTCTGTACAATACAGTACGTAATAATCTTGCTGTTGGTGCCGATTCAGATTACAAATTTCGGTGGTGTCTTCTCTAGCAAATAAGAATGCAGCTCTCGGAATGATGCATACTTGTGTAATGTCAGGAGGGCTCAAACTAGCCACCTGCCTTATGCTCACTCTCAGCATCCTGGTGGCTTGTAACAGCTGTCCTGCAGCGTGTTTAGAAACCCAAGAGTCTGCTACTAGGACAATACACCAGGGAATATCTGCACAGAATACATCTGTCTTTTTTTTTTTTTTTTTTTTTTTTTCTTCCTGTTTTTTCCTTTTTTCTTTTTTTGGAAACACTTAGTTCCATGTGTATATGTTGGTAGAAGCTGAAGAGTGCTATGCAGATGTACCTCTTGGGAACTAGCTGTCATGTGGAAATTGTGTTCTGAAAAATACTTGTAGGCAGTCAAACTCCTGTTTTTTATGGATAGATTTAATTTGTTATATGATGAGCTAATGCCTATGAAGGTTTCTGTGTTCCCTTGCTAAGGCACTAACATCTCCTTAGAGGAATAACATATTTATGTGTAATAGAAAACTCGTAGGATGCTGCTCTTAATATGAGTTAGTAGGTATCCATTTAATAAGAAGCTGAACAAAACCATCTGTAGTGGTGTTCAACATACTAGCATTAGACAGTTTGTGTCATACAAGTTGCTTTTGCGTCATCTTAATCCCCTAGCACCTTGCCTCCCCATCTGACTCGCCTGTGACCTGGGCTGCCCTGCCCCCTACCGCCTCCAATCAAAAAGAAAACCTCATTTAGAAGTATTATTGTCTTATTGTCTCCTGGTTAAAGTATTTCTTGAGTTTTTATATTATTTTCTAAAGAGAGTTTTTTTGAGTTAGATAGATGCTGTCCTTTCAGGTACATGGAGAAAGGTGGCAGGGAACTGGGTTGGAATTTTTGGGCTGCAATGTTAGAAAAGATTGTCATGGTAATTTTGTATAATTTATTCATATAAGGAAGCATTGAGTTTGGATTATGAATGCAACTCTTAACACACCCCACACCCTGTGCCCCCTCCAGCAGGATTTTAAAGTATCAATAGAAATGTCATACCAGATCTACCAATTTACAGGGCCAGGTGTGTGGGTATGTCAGCATGGCCTCTTTGCAAGCAAACGAACACTTGGTTTCCTTGTGCTCCTGTCTGGCTAGGTCTGATAGCGCTGGCTTGGGCTCCTGTGGTAAATCCTGCTGAGAGCACAGCCCTGTCCACTGCAGCTACTTCAAATAAAAAGATGCTCATGTCCTGCCATCTCAGAATGGCAGATGAAGCTCAGATTTGCCTGCTAGAGACTCTGCAGACCCTGCAATACGTCAGTTTGCTGCCACTTCATGATAGATTTGGATCATAATTGCTCTGTCATTTTAAGAGCAAAATTTGGAGAATAGGAAAGAGCTTGTGGTTGTAGTAATATATGCAGCTTACTGGTGTGTTAATGCTAGTGTTGCTGTAAGATATGATAGGAAATATTTTTACAAATTGATCCAGAAACTAGACATAAGAAGTGACATGAAAATTACTCTTCTAATCCATTGTAAATGTTTCTGTATTCCACCCCTCAGAAGTTTTGGAATTACTCCAGTGTAGTTGATTTTGAGGGAGTTTTTAGTAGAAGCCTGTACTGTTTACGAGGAAATTATGGACTATATGTTGCTTATGAAAAGATTAAAGTTTTGTAAAGAACTCTGACAAAAATATTTCTTGTCTGTCTGGAAAATAGATACTTCGAAAATGTCTTTGAAAAAGTGCTGTTGTAGCCAGAGATAAGCTCCAATAAGTAGAACCTGAAGATGTATAAAAGTGAAAATGAAGAAGGAAAGATTGATGGAAAAAGTGTATGTTTCGTAACAGCTACATAGTTTCTTTTTCTTTAAAAAAACCCAAAAAAGTCCTCATACATTTCATAACCATTCTTTTGCAGCGTCAAGCATATGGTTGAAATATTGCTGCAGCACAGTTTTGCTCTAGGTTCTCACAGTGTTGTCATTGAACATCTTCAAGGATCTAATGATTTTTGAATACATCTGTCTACAGTTTGTTTTAAAGTACTTCTGTAGTTGAGCATGTTGAGACAGTTGCAGTTTGAAGTTGCTGTGTTGTTTTTCATCTAGTGCGAAGCTTTTCCTTGGTATTTGTTCTTAGGTAAGAGCAGATGTTTATCCACAAAGTATTTTGTTATGGCATTTAAAAGACAAAACCTTCAATCTGTTTGAAAACTATTTTATGTTTTAGAATGTTGGATTTTTCAGCTTGGCTCTACATGTGCATGTTCTCTGCTTTCTATTATTTTGTTAAATTAATAAAGCTTCTGAGCGTGTTTTTGTTCCAAGACACAGTGACTATTAACTAGGAATTAGTCAACTACAGCCTAGAAAAAGATTTCAGTAAAGTGCTTCAGAGAGGTGTGTTTTTTGTAAAGTTTCCAAACCAAGTATTCTTTCCAAAATCTATAAAACCAAAAAAAATCAAAGGTGTGATTCCCAGCATGCGCCCCCCCTGCCCCGCCCTCATTCTATCCCAAAGCAATAGACAGCCTCTTCTGCCTTCACACACCCATCCCTACCCTAAACAACTTTTGTACTTTCAGAAATTAAGTAGTTCTAGTATGGATTTATGCCAAGGAAAACTGCATTAAGTGTGGGAGAGCCACCAGAACACAGTCCAGCATAGCTGTTTCAGCATTCATCTGCATAGCTGAAGAACTGTATGATCTGTGCTCTGCATTAGGACAAGAATAGGTTTGGTTTAAGATGCTCAGTTGAGAAGAGATCACTAAGAGTTAGGGTATCTGATATTTTTGTTTAATTTTGTTCTTCCTATAGGAATCATTTAGTTTATGGTCATTTACATATAGCAACAGAGAGGCCTTCAATAGCTTGGAAAGGAAAAGATTCACACACATGTTAGAGTGAACATCAGTTTACAGAGTGGAAACTGACTACTTTTAAACCCTCTTAACAGCACTATCTGAGATACTTGTATTAGTCTATGGTTAGAGAATTTTCTGCACTGAGAAAGGCAGTGAGGGGAACTGAATGTGGGCTTCTGATTTCTGAACTGCTAGGTGATAAATCTTCACAATTGCATAGTATGTTTCTTTGGCTGGTGGCATTTGCCTCAAGTTTATGAATGGTATGTTATTTGTTTTGTTTTGTCCGAGATGTTTTGTTTGTTGGTTGGGGTGGCAGCGGTCCAACTTCATTACTAGAGTTCTCGTCATCCAGGAAGTAGGAGTGAAAGAAGAAAAAAGAACAAGGAAGGCAGTGTCATGTCATGAAGGTTAAGTTATGGATAATGCCTTAAAGAGCCAGTTTTCCTACGCATTATACGATGGGACCAAGGAGATTAAGGTATGTCAGTGATGAAGAGGGGAAGAGTGAAATGAAGCTCTGAATTTGATCTGCTAGAGTGGAAGTTGCATTTTCTAAAATTGGCTTAAGCAAGGAAAAAGTGTAGCTACTCAAACTATACCTGAAACAGCCATGAAATTAATTGCAGCTTAACAGCATGGCTTTTTTACCTTTTCAACAGGAAAAAATATGAAGCAAGGATTTCTTAATAAGCCCTTTTGCTGAACAAGAATATATGGCTTATGTAAAAAAAACCTGCTTTGGAATGAGTAGTCAGTGAAAGGTTGATAATTCAGCTATAAACACACTTAGCAGATGTTTGACTTCTGGATTGTTCTGTTATGGGACAATGTGCTTTCATTTTGTAATGCTAATGAAGTCTTGGATCAGAACAGAGATAAAACCTTGGAGCTGTTCTTAGCTGCTGTTGATGCAGAAAATGTTAAGTCTCAAACTCTGTTTCAGGTCCTTTTTTGGTATTCTCTGAGCTGGAATTGAAGGCATGCCCATTCTGCTCTTGTGTGACCCCGCGGTAGCTGCAGTCAGTGGCCTGGGAGACGAGAGACTCGCGAGGGAGCGATTGGCTGCGGGGCTGGGGAGCAATTTCCCGGAGTACATCTGTGTCGAGCAGAGCGAGCTAAAGCAGTCATGTACGCGCAGTCTCTGATCTCTTGGGAGGTTCATTACAGGGTCTTGTACAAGGGCATTCTCTGCTTCTGCACATCAGCATGGAAGAAGCTCGTCCAGGGAAGAAAATGCAACCTGTATGTACATAGCAGCTGTATAACTTAATAATGGTTCAAATGTGCTTTGATGCAAGTGGTATTTAGCAACTGTGTCTCAGAATGGTGTGCTACCTTAGACTCAATAGTTCTGGGAAGGATCTCTGAAAGATTTGGTAACAGAAATAATACTTGAAGTAGAGATTTCTGTATTAGGGAAGACATTTTCTGCGTAGTTAGAATTGCTTAATCATAGTAACTGGCTTAATTCAGAAAGAAAATGTGTTTTTACAATCACAAGAGTATACTGCCAGATTTTTAGACTGGTTGAACGTGGGTTTATTGTTTTGGTTTGTGGGTAGGTTTTTTTGTGGTGTTTTTTTTTTTTTTTCCGTACATTATATTTTCTTAATTTGCAGTTTATCAGCTGTGGCTTTGAGTAATTCTGTGCAAGTATAGCAGGGAAGTTTCTGGTAAAGGATCTTGGAATAGCCTATTGATTGTTCCTTTTGACTGAAAAAAGAAAAAAAAGAACAAAGGGTAATAAACTGTGTAACTAAGGTAAAATGTTCATGGAGGTAGTGTGTTCCTCAGATTTCAGTGGCATAGCTACAAAACTCCGTTTGTGGGGATTTCTAGAACGAAGCAGCGAACTCTAGTATTAGCGTTAGAGGCTATTGCTTAGCTCTTGTATGGGTAGTCTTTATCACTGCCATTTAACTGCAGTGCAGTGTATAACAGGGATTACTACTTCAGAGTACCCTGGAAACTAAAATCTTTGGATGGAATTTTCTTAAGCTTTAAAGACCCCTGAATTGTTTTATATAAATTTTATAAGATCACCACTAAATTTTCTATTTCTTTGTGCGAGCATAAGAAGTAAGAGTTTGATTTGGAGATGTTAAAATGCATCTGATAGCAGTGGTCTTGTTTGTTAGGGTCTCTGTAGTACATAGATCGATTTTTGATTTTCATTGCGGTGCTGCCTTCAGCTCTGGATACAGAACTCTTATCAGGCATGCATGTATCTGGAAGACTAGGCAAAGATCTGAGGGGACTAGTTATAAAGATTCTACTACTTCTGTTTTTTCTGACTGTAATTTACTGTAATTTTAGAAATTGAAGTGAATGGAGCTGTAAATTTTTTGAATGAAATGTAGTGCTGTGAGGCAGTGATAAAACGCAGCTTTGTAAAATGACTACTATAATGTTAGATATGCAACTTGATATCTTGATGACTTGATAGATTGGTGACATTATTTGCTAACTTTGTGCATGGTGGTAAATTTTCTGGCTTGCAGAACACTTGGGTTGAAGTCAAACAGGTTTCTAAATTTAATAGAATATTCTCTTGCATTTTAGTCATGCCCTAATATTAATCAAGCGATCCCTTTTTCTTGTGTTCGTTCGAACCCATTTTTTTTTTTTTTTTCACAAATTGCTGCGGTGTATTATAGTTGATGGCCACTCGCTACTGTGACCAATCTCTTGTCAGTGTTTCTGCTTCCTTTTTTTCTTTCCTGACTTTTTCTCCCAATTTAATTCTTCGTTTTTACTCTCCAAAGACAAGTGTCTGATTTTCCGGGACACGGCTTGTCTCGCAGGTTGTGGTGCTCGGTGTGACAGTGTCCAGAGTAATGCCTGGTAGAACCACTGAAATAAAATTATTTATAAACATTAGATGTTCAACTGTTGAGGAAGCAATACATTACACATGTAGAACTACTTTTTCCCAAAAGTGTGGTGGGTTTCTTTTGTTGTTGTGGGGTGTGTGTTGTGTGGGTTTGTTTGTTTGTTTGTTTTTTGTTTGTTTGTTTTTTTTTTTTAAAGTAGCACACATACATGTCTGGCTTTAATGTCCTCCACATAGAGTTTTGGAAAAGTAAACGTAAATGCAGCTTCTGGAGAGTCTTACTGATGTCTGTTGATGTCTTTTGGACATACTTGTCCAAACAAGGTTTCTCTAGTTCTGTTTTTTTGTAAGGCTTCTAGAAGCAGATTGGTCAGACCTATTTAGTAGGGTAAGCTGAGCAGTTAATTAGAGGATTAGTAGGCTAGAAAAACTTCTCTTAAGTATTCCTAACCTCTCTTGTTATAGCTATGGTCTTACTGAAATCTAAATGTCAAACCTTTCTGTGAGGCTCTGAGTATTGCTTTGATTAGGAGGGATCTTAATTTACACATGTAGAGGATAGTTATGCAAAATATTCATTGTGTAACCACAGATAAAATTCACAAGAAAAGGGAGGGGGTGTGGTAACACCAAAACCCTTGAGCTGTACTGGAGTCTTTCCTGTAGTGTTTGAGCGATACCTACTGCTGTGATAGTAGGGAAAAAAAAATAATCTGGAAAGCAGCTGTTCCTATGCAAATGAGACCATAGCAACTACAACCAAGGGGGAACCCATCAATGTGGTATGCTTCCTGTTTTAAACCTGGTGAATGTTCTGTTTGTGAATTATTATTAATTTTATTCTTGTCTGTATATATTTATAGGGCAAGGCCAGTTAAAAGTTGTATGCCAACAAAATGAGACAGGTCCCATTTATTTTTGGTGCATTTTCCCTTGGCTGTTAGGTTGGTGTGCTTGATTTAGAACTGGTAGTGTTTCATCACTTTGGCAACTTCTGAAGGTACAGTATTGCAGTGTAGACCAATACTGTGCCCAAAGAACTTACTTCAAGTGCGTTTATAGGACTGCCTGTGCAGTTCAGCTAAAGACTGTTTAATAGGCTGAGTAATACCTTCGCTTACTACTGTTTAGAAAGAACTTTGATTTTTCATGTTCTGTCCTTCAAGGAGGCAGCAATTGGAGATGCCTGCCCTCCTGACCACCATAGGCTCATCTTACTTCTGGTTTAAAAGCAGAATCAATCTGACAGAGAAGTAAAACAATATATTTAGAATTTACCAAGTGCTGCTGCTAGTTCCTTCAGGTGAGCTGCGTCAAAAAGCCCTTAGTAATTTACTTGCTTTAAACTCAAGGCTACTTGGTGCTCTGTATGGGTAGCAGTGGGAGAGCTGTAGTGTAGACCTACCTAGTGCTAATGATTGCCAGAGGTAGAATGAGTGTCATTGAAATCTGCATACAGTAGTCACAGATGGCATTAACAAATAATTTTCTGGTTTCTTATCACTTCCAGGGTTGCTGCTGCTGGTAGAGTTGTAGTCCTACGAAATTAGGAGATAATACTGGTCTTGTCTGATTCCCACCCCTGAAGCGTGCTTGTTAGCTTTCAGTTCTGCTGCAGGGAGATGGAATGCATAGAGAAGAGGCTGTATGTACATTCTGTAAATCAGAGATGTGTTTTACTTCCTCACTACATGGAGTGTTATGTGTGCTTAGAACAGAAATGCAGGCTTCTGAAACAAACCACTGAAAAAATACTGCTGTGAAAATGAACCATGAATTACCCTACTGGTTCTTAATTATTCTGAACAATATATTTCAGTAGCTGTGTGACCAAACAAATGACTTTGTGTGTGTGTGGATCTATTAAAAAAAAAAAAAAGATCAGTTTTGAAATATTTTATATATATGCATACACGTATCTGGAAAACAGTTGCAAAATGAGGTTTTGTAGTTCCTCTTTAGCTATGTTTGAGATATGTAGTCGAAATGAAGGTTTTAATTTATTTTTCGAGCTAAACTGCTTATATTTCAAGCAGAACAGTATCGCTAATTTTTCTTTATTTAATTTTTTTTTTTGTTACTGGAGCCTTGATGGCTATCATATCTGTCTTCTGAATCCAACAAAGTGAGGATTGATGATACAAAAATCCTGCTTTGACTGTATTCCTAGGCCTAAGTCACACCACCATTTTGAATTCTTTTTGCACTGATCTGGAATTTTGTTGGGAAGTTGTAGGCCTCTGTTTTTGTATCCTCTTGAAAGACAGCGTGTGGGGTTGGATGGATGGTTTGATCCAGCTTAACTGCTTCTATGTTTTGTTTTGGGTGTTTTTTTTTTTTTCTTTTTTGGCCTTTGTGTCTATTTGAATAAATGCTATAGTGAAGATTTTTTTGTAGCATGAAAGTGGTAATGTAATGTTGGGGGTGGTTGGTTTGTGTCCTCTCCTGTGCCCTACTTACTTATTCCCGTGAACACTAGTGCTATGTCTGCTGGTGCTGCAAGTACCAGAAGGGATGTAAATGGAGCTCAACTTACTCTCAACACTATTACTCTTAGGTTTCAAAGGTTTGTGGTTAACTGTATCAGGCATTGCTATAATCACTGCCTATCACTAGAATGAATTGACTGAACTACATTTCAAGTACCTTAAAAACATGTTGCTAGCAAGTTGTCTCTTGAAAGTGGTTATTCAGTAATGGAGTTTGGCAGTGTGCTCTTCTGAAGTCTGTCACGTGTGTGTGACTGCATAAGGTTAGGTGAGTTGCACGGTGAGAAGAGCTTGTACAGATGACAGTGGGAAGTTTCCTTTAGATTTAATGTTCTCTGCGTCATATTTGTGCCAGTCCTCTAGACAGTAACTAATATATGCTGCTGGAGGTTGACCACTTAAGTCTTGCAAACTTGAGTGATTTCCTTAGTGATTCATGCAATTAAGGATCGACATTTTTAAATACTACTTTTAAAAAACATGTAGGGTTAATATTTTAGATATGAAAAGTATACTGTACTAAATGAAGACAAATGTTTGAGAAGGCAGATAAGTAAAGCATGAACAATTTCTTGATATTTGTTTGTCTGCAATGAAAGGGGAATTACTCTTTTCTCCTGGACTGAGAAAAGACATTTGAAAATCAGAGGTGGCAAGAGGAATCCTACTGGGATTCTGCTAGAGCAAAGAGTATTTGAAAGTCTTGACTGGCCTGCAACAGTTGAAAAGAGGTTTCATTTTCATGCTGGGGAAAGTTGGAAGACTGAGAAGACACATCGTAGTGTATGTAGGCACCTCTGGCTGAATACAAAGGTTTTACTGGAAGGTTGTTTCTACAGTACGTTTATGAGCATCCACAAATTTGGTGTTAGGAAAAAGTGTATGTAGTGTATTTTAATGCAATGGACAGGGATTATTTTTTTCTTTTTCCTTGAGGTAGTCTGTATTTGTTCTGTTTTTATAAATCACCATGTCCTTGTGAGAAAGCAAACCAGAGGTGAAGCCTTAATCTGTCCCTGGGGCACTTTGGTTGCTGCTTGTGTTGTTTGTGTCCCTTCTCAATTGTTCTGTCTCTTGACTGAAGAGAGAAGTTACATACATTCCAAGTTAGTCTTAAATTTTACTTTGTCTCATCTACATCAGCTGTTTTTTGAGCACCTGTGGGATGACTGTACATAAAGCTTCACATGAAATGGGTGGTAAATTGCAGAGGAACGCTTGCTCTAAGATGAAGTCATTCTCTGTGCCTAAAAAAGGGACACTGACGAGCTTTAAACAATCCCACCTGTCTTGTCTTTAAGCATGTAAAAAGTTCAGAAAGTAGAAGAGAGAACTGGAATGGGAACGTGTTTTGATTCGTCAACTGTAACAGTTTTCTCTTGGTTTTGTGCCTTAAACTGACGTAGTGGGTCTTCTATAATTATAGGAAACCTATGCCCTGCAGACTTTATTTTTAGCAAGGAAAAAGGTTGTAGCTTGGAATTAGTTCTATAGTGTATTTGAGTATTTTGGGGTTTTTACCTGACCTAAGGCAAAAGTATCTTATGGTGGAATTTGCTATTGTCATCACAAACAGTTATGTTAAAATGATGCTTTGTGTTTTCCTAAACAAAGATTGTAAATGATATGCTTTCTTCATGTATGATATTTGTGGTTTATTCTTGGAAGAGTCTTTGCATATGTTGAGTACTTTGAGATAGTGATAGAACGGTTTGCAAGGGCATGCATGCCTTTCTGTAATCTAATCTCGAAAGACATGTTACTTTCACATGATACGGTTTTGAAGGCTGTTTCTGTATGTATAAAGTTGGCAAAGTACCTCTGTTACTAAAGCAAAGGGTGATAAATATTAATAGCACAATATAAGGCATACAGCAAGTACAGTTTCAAACTGTTATTGCAAGATAAAAATCTTTCCTTGCATCTGTGTTTTCTGAAGTATGTAATTTTCTACCAGTATGTAGTAGTTTAAATAATATGGAGAAAAGCTTTGTCTTCCTTTACTGCTCAAGCCCTGTTGTTTGGCAAGCTTGCAAGTGCCCTAAAGGGTCTATTGGTGTAGGAGGGGAGTTAGGTACAGGATATTTCAGCAATCTGTAGCTATAACTATGAAGCTAATTGTGGAAGAGGTTTTGATAGCAGTTTTCCTAATATTAGGGTTTTTTCTCTCTCATAAGGCACTTAAGATAATTTATAGGATTTATAATACTTCATCTATTCCTGTCTCTAGTTTGAGTTTTCTGGTAACGTGCAGGATTTTTGTTTATAATCTGTTTCTGTGAACTGGAGTGCTACAGTCCTAAAATTTTCTCTTTCTGTGTCACTGAGATAAATTGGAAAGGAAGTATGCTTCACTCCTGCTTGGTAGTGTTACAACCTTACCAATGCAGTTAAATGTTTTGCTGTACTTATTTGGTGCCTCAGAAGATTGTTAACAACCTTTTTAATGCAGCTGCTTAGAGACCTCTTTTTGCTATTGGGTTTATACATGTTAAATTTTTTTTTTCCCAAGCTGTGTTGGAAAATTCATCTTCAGTAAAGATAAGAGCCAAGAGTCATTTTGCAACTGTGTTTTTCCCTGCCTCCAGAATGGTTATCAGAGTGGTGACAGAGGCCAGTTACATCATGAGGGCATCTTCTAGAGGGCTCTTTAATTTTGTTGTGGTGTGTAGGAGGCGGGAATGTACTGCACACACACGTGCACACACACTCATCGTACTACCATGACACTTTATAAATTTTTGCCGCTTCTTTCTTATAATAAATAATATAATTGTAATATTTTCACAGATTTGCCCATCAGATATGACTTTGGTTTAATCACCTGAATTTGCTAATTGTAGCTCTTTGGAGCGTGCAGGAGGTTTGGGTTTTCTAACATGCGTGCAAAACTCCACTTGGGCAATGCAGCAGTAGTGACAAAGTTATGTTACTGTGTAATGCCTTTCTTGAAAACCTGGTTCTTGGGAACACAGCTCAGAACCAGCCTTCAGTTTTCAGAAGTTTGTTCTGCCATGTGCCACTGTTTTGTTTTCTGTCTTGCTTATTTATGGAGTGCCAGCTGCTTTTATTTTTTTAATGTGGTGTAACTCTTAACCTTTTTTTATAAACCTAATCTGAAAACTTTTTTCCCTATATGTGCCATTTGTCATCTTTGTATTTAATCTACTTTCCTCAATAGTCAAACAAAGATTTGTTGGTTTTTTTTTTTCTGTATATGTGCGCACAATACACTAATAAATATCTATTTTATTAAGACTAAGAAGTTATGTGTTCAAAGAATTTGTTTTGTGGGTGTTGGTACAGTATGTTTTATCTTGTAGCTGTTGCGCAGGTATGTTGTTTTTCATCCTTGTCATTTCCTCATGAGATGACAGACCTCTTCTATATATAAACCATTGCACTATTTGAGTAATTCTAAGATCAAAGTTTAGGTGAATGTCAACACTGTTAGGGTTCCCAGTCCCTATAAGACTCCTGATCTAGGCTTCTGTTTTTTTCCTCCTGAAACCATTATCACAGATGCTGCCTTGATTGATGTAAATGCACCAATGGGCTGCTCCCAGAAGTGATGATCAGACAGATTTATTTGTGATGGATCTAGCTGTCATACGGCTACAAGAAAAGTCAGCTTGGTGAACTGATCTTATGGAAAACTAATTAAGTTGTTTAAAAAGACAAAAAAAAATTTTTTAAAATAAAATCTACTGCTTCAGCTCTTTTTATCTGACTTCATGATTGATAGTTCAGACTTAAGGGAAAAAGTGTGTGCCCAAGGGAGCAGAAAGAGTACGTACAGTAGTCTTTAGCAGTTAGTCTGCCCTTACGTAGTTAGATGTAAAGTAAAGCATTACCCTTAGGGTAGGCAGCAGTTCTTTTGGAGAACCAGTTCTGCTAGGAGGCTGTAGTTGGTGAGCCGTTAAAAGTGGATTGTATTCTAAGGAATGCGAACTTTTGGAAAAGAGCAGCTTCGATGTTTTTGATGTCAAGTCTGAGATGAGATCATGAGATTCCTACTGCTCAGTTATTTTAAGGTTTATTTTTGTCAAGGCTGAGCAAAAGGCATTAGAGGTCTGCTTTAGTGATGTGCTAACTGTCAGAGGACATGTTCAGAGATAAGCCTCATTCTTAAGCCTGTATCTATTTCAAATCCTGTGCTTTTGTGTTATGAGTGGTATAGTTTCAGTAGTGGTGGAATCTAAACAGATTGTCTTGCAACTCCTGTTTTCTAACTTTGTGCGTTTAAAAAAAAAAGTTAATTAGGTAGGGTTGTGGTTAACAAGCTGTCTGTTGAGACCTGAGTGAAACAGTTATTTTGATCTTTCCAAAACTGTTGGTCTAGGAGAGACCCCTCAAGTTGTGTAACTTAACTTTTTTGCCACCCCTTTGTATAACCTTTGGTTCACAAAAGCTTATTTCTGCTGGAAAATCTCACTTAGCAGTTGTCCCCTAAGCAAATGGGTTCAAGATCTCTGAATGTTAATTTATGTAACTTTTTATAAATGTGCCAGTTACTTTATTGAAATAAATTAATTGTTGTTGAATGTAAAACTAAAAGAATATTGCACTCCTGAAATGTATGTCCTGGTCCTTGGTACAGTGAAATGAAGAGCATTGCAAATGGAAATTGCACGGTATTTAGCATATCTGTTGATTTACTCTGTTTTTTCCTTCAATACAGAGTAATGTTTTCTTGAAGAATTGGATGGGCAGATTTTCAGTGACATTTTCTTTCTCAGTTTCTAAGAGGTGAAAATGTGTTGTTTTAGAAAACCTTGACAAACAGCTTCAGAGCTGCAGAGTATATTTAGGAATTTAGCAAAAAGTAGTTCTATTTAGATTTAACTTAAACTTGTATCTTGTTTCCTCAGGGTCATGATGAAGAAGCTGTTGTGGATATGGGCAAAATCAGCTCTACTATCAATACAAACTTTGAGAAAGAAGAACTAGAGAGTAAGTTTGTGGTGCTTTTCTCTTTGTCTCACATGCTGCTTTTTTTTTTTTTTTTTTTTTTTGCCTCAGGATAAAAGAGCTATTTTCCTTCAAGTGGAACCAGTATAGCTAAAAGGAATCAGAATTTTATGGCCACCATGAAATTCTGGGAATAAAACCAGTGGATGGCAGATGACCTGTTTTTTGTCTCTGTGCATGCTAATAGATACTCACTGTTATTCAAATACATCACAAAAAATATATATAAAAAAAAAAAAATCCAAGGAAAGCTTTCTTCTGAGATGGTAGGTTTGAAAACTTGGCAGTCAGTGATTTCCCTTGTCAAGTTCTGCAGAATCAAAACTCGGGGAACATGAGGGAGATGTTTGTTTTGTTTTCTGAAAGTTAAGTATCCTCGTGAGTGTGGTCATGCACCTTAGAGTCTAAGCAGCTAACAGTGCTTCTAGTTATGTGGTAAACTATACATTCCACAATCTGCAGTCAGTTCAAGCATTATGGAATCCTGTTAATCTTCATTATTTGTTTCAGGCTCCTGCATTTAGCAACAAAAATGTCATTGAACTAGGTTTATATAGCAAAATAAAAATTCAGACACTTCATCTAAGATACAATTTTTCTTACTGACTTGAGAAGGAAGTAGATTGGGTTGAAGATTCGTGGCTGCTGTTTAGTCAAGACAGAGGAAGAAGCTAGGAAGATCCAGTGTTAAAATCTTACTCACTTTTCCCATAGAGTGCTCTGAAGCTTGATTAACATGTGCAAAATGCTAGAAGACTATTAGCAGATTCACTAAGTAGTATTTCCTGACAGTGCTGACTCTTACAGCTTCAGAACACTGGAGAGCCATTATAGCAGCAGTTTCTAGCTGAGAAAAGTTTATTTAGGTTGCTGTCACACTTTCTTATACTGTGGTCTAACAAGGGACAGTTTAAAGTGATTAAAGTTGTTTGTTACTGTTGCAGTCATACTTTTGCTTTGTTCCCTTCAGTCTATTACTGCTTCCCGTCCTGTACTGACACTTTTGTTTGTCTGACTACCACGTAAGTCTGGTTAAGTATGTTAAGCGAGCAGAAAGTTTAACAGTCCTGACAAAGGAAAATAATAAGAAAGTTCTCAGCAGCTGAGCACCGCAAACTAATTTGCCATGCAGATGGACGTGTGCCAGTGCAGAGCAGAGGAAGGAAATGTGACTATGGGGCTGAGAGGTGCAGCTGTGAGGAGAGGCTGTGAAAATGTCAGTTTAGATAGGGTTGAGCTGTGGTGAAACCACTGCCATGTCTGTTTCTGCAGTTAAATCTTCAGTGCAGGTTTAAGCTGTTTCCTTCTTCATTTCCTTCTCTTGCTTTTCTCTGGGAGATGACCCAGAAGAAGCATGTGTGTGTTTTGCAGGGAGGCAGGGGTTAAGGGGAAGCAGGCATTCAGCTGGAGTAGCGTGTGGTGCAGCATCGTGAGCAGCTGTAAAGCCTCAAGCACGAAGAATGACATGGGAACGAAGAATGACATGGGAATGTGCAGCCAGATCGCTTCCCCAGTCTCTTTCGTAGCCAATTTGCAGGAGTGCTTCAGCGAGTACAACGCTGTAGTTACACAAGATCCGGGGTAGGATGGCAGGGGATTCAGGCTGCTTGAAGCAATTTAAGTGCTTGCGTTGCTGACTGTGGAACATACCCCTGTCTTACTCATGGCCAAAGAATACATTAAGGTGAACCCAAGACTTCTGTTTCATCAACAGTTGAGGCGACATAACAGCTATTGAAAGCAGATGAGGAGATCTCTCTGTCCTTACCTGGCTCTTAGCCATGCAGCCTTACCTTTCCTTTGGCTACCTCTTTGTCTCTTTGGAGTGACCCAGTATAAGTGTCTCAATGCGAGAGAGGGCTGGCTATACAGAGGTTAAACAAATAACTAATAACTATCTGACCAGAAAAATGTATTACAGTAGGATTATCACACATCTGAAGCTTCATGTAGGCACACATTTTCCACATATGAGTAGGAACTGGTTTTGACAATGACATATATTTTGTAGTATCTTAGGTATTTGTAAGAAAAATTTGTCCTTTTTTTTTTTTTTTGGTAGTAGAACGAGGAAGGGCGGGGGGGGGGGGCAGCAGCATGTATTTTGACTTTTATCAGTGAAAACTGTTCCAAAGTAAGAATAAGAAGTTTTTCCTTTCCTATACAAAAGAGAAAGGTATGTAAGTGCAGTTGTTTATGACTCATATAGTTAATCTTGTCTGAGATTCACCAAAAGAGATTCTTTAGATTCTGGGTGTTTCAGAGGATACATTTATGTGAACTTACAGCTCTGTTTGTTTAAGAGATAATTATTTATAAGCCGTTACGATTAACGTAGGTATGTGGGATTTCTGGGTTTTGTTTTTAATTCTGATGTTAAAATCTTAAAAGGGGAGAAATGGAATTGTTGGCTGCAAGTAGTAAAAAAAATCCTCTGAATAGTATTATTTTTCATTACTGACTTGTGAATATTTTCTTGTAAGCTTAGGAAGAACTGTAGTCAAGCATTAGGTATTGTAAGTGTTTTTAAGACCTGAAAGTGTTTCAGTCTGGTCTTCCAACTTGTTTTTCTGGTGACTTGAAAAGGAGTTCTAGGAATTTGTAACCTTTCCAGAAGTGTGTGTTGGTTTGTTTTCAAGGAGAGGCAGCAAGCAGTTAGTTCAGTTCAGCTATGATGTAAAGCACTAAACATTTAAAAGCCAATATGGACAGGTGATATTTAACTGCTTAAAAACCTATACAGATTAATGTTGATTAGTTTGATGCTGTAGAAGGCATTAATTTTGCTACTAATATGCTAAAGCCCAAGGTTCCTTGGTCTTGTCAGTATGGGTTACTTCTATTTTTCTGGAAGTTTTGTGGTGAAATGTTAATGCAAAGAGCGCCAGATGCTAAAGGGGAAATAGATCTTGGAGTCAGGGCTTCCCAAGCTCTGCATTCTATTTATGGTGGCTGGGAAAGTGTGGTACATAACTAGAGTGACAGTGTTTAGGTTAGAAAGGTTAGGCACAGGCTGCTTGTTTTGTAACTCTTCCTGTAAAAGAGAAATGGGTAGAGATGGTAAACTGCAATTGTGGGCACACTGTGTGTGGGCTAAATAAAGGTGCTGCTCTTTACTGAAGCTGCAAGACCTCACTTTGCAATAACAAATGTCAGTTTACAGAAGAGCTAGAAACGGGAATAACATCTTAAAATAACATTTTTAACAGCACCTAATGTTCTTAGCTTGATGCCAGACTCTTTGAGCAGCAATGAATGAGAGTAATAACAAAGTAAGGCAGGAGTTGGAAGTAAGGCAAGAATAGCAATGGCAGAGGTATTTCATGCCACCTTGTAAAAAGCATTTTCTGTTAAGAACCGTGTTTAAGGAAGACTTTCTTAGAACTGACTGAATGTATTTTACCAGGACCTAGCTTTTTAACTGTGTAGTTAATTTTCCACCTTGATTTGAGGGTGCATTTACTAGATACAGTTTAAGAGAGAAGGGATATATTCCGTTATTCTTAGCAGACCAGTTACAGGCATAGTAAAGATAAGGAATTTACACATAACAGAAGTCTTGTTCAAGAAATAATCTGAGGTCGAGAGTGTGTGTCTCGATAGACTAGTTTTCTGTGGCATAAATCCAAGAAGCAGCTTTCAAGAGTTAAGATGATTTAATAGCTACTCCACTCTCACACTATTGCGTGGCAGGTATAAGTAGTGTTTACATTTCAAGTGACCCTATTGTTTCTGATACCTTGGTTGTTTAGAGCCTTATTTTTCCTTTGAGAAAACAGCTGTGCTTTTCAGATAATCCTAGTTGTTAAGGACAGGTAATTAAATAATCCTGCATTTTTTCACCTGTAGAAGTGAATATTGTATATCTAAGTGGAGAACTTGCTTTACAAGTGTTTTGCAGTTTAATGTATTATAAGTAGTTAGAAATTGTTTCAGTATTATGAAAGGGCTTTGGGGAACTGAAAGAACTTAGACAACAATGTGGTAGAATGTACTGCTAAGATTTTTTTCAAGTAGCAGGTTTACTATTATTCTGCCTTTTAGATGCATCTAAATTGCAACTGTTCAAAAACCCATGCATAGTTTCTGTAAAATGTTTTTAAGAAAACAAGTGTACAGGAGCAGGTAAACACAAGAAATACAACAGGACGTTGTAGCTGCTGGCAGTTTAAGATTGTGCTTAATATTTATGTTTTTATGTTCTGTAATAGGCTGTACTAATTTAAGCAGGTAGTACAGAACAGGTTTCTTGCGGTTCTCAAACTGAAGAATGAATGCTTGAACCTTTAAGAGACCTCTTAATGGTCTAGAAAAGAACCATGTTTAACAGAAAAAAATAACTTTGAAATGCTCTTTCTCATGGAGTTGTATCTTTTTGTGGTCAAAAAGTAGAAAAATGTGACACATAACTGCTTCTGAAAACAAACATAGCATAGGATGGTCATCAACGATTCTTGCAGACCACCTTTTGTCCATCCTCTCTAGTGGTATCTCTGAATTGATAAAATCTTGCATGCTCCATAGTTTGAGCTGAACTGAAAGCAGGCAAAACCGTGTCCATTCTAAGCTATAGTACAGCTACTCGAGTATTGAAACATGCTTTGAGTCATATGCACCATCAATACAATATTTGCTTGCACCAGTTGTGCTAGGAGCCGATGCAGGATAAATTAATTTGTCCTTATTGTTCAGAAATAAATGTTAGCTCAGTGCTTCTCTGTAAGTCACAAAAATTGAGGATGTTTTCCTAATATGATTTGTAATGCAATCTTGATTATGTGAATTTTGGAATTAGGCTGCTTTGCTACACCTTTGTCATACATGTGTTGAAAATTTAGTTCTAATACCTTTTGCTATGGGAATCCTGCGTTGTACAGTCCACAGGCAAGTTCCTCAGGACTTCTGGTCCTGTTCATTTATGCAATATTCAGACTTCTGTGTGGAGGCAATAATCGTTCTCAACTTATTTTATTATTTGTGGT